CGATAATCTACGTCAAGGGCTTGTTGTACTACTTGGAACCCTGGCTCAATATCTAGATCCATCTTCGGATAAGGTGCGAGCTATCGTTGCACGCCTCATGGAAGCACTTTCAACTCCTAGCCAAGCGGTAGGTTTTTTGGACTTCTCTACAATCGCCATAATAGAATGCGAACATTCAAGGTTCAAGAATCGGTATCGCGTTGCTTATCGCCGCTGGTTCCTGCAATCAAGGATACGGTGAAATCATTGGTACAGAAACTGCAGTGGCTGTTGTTCGAAGCTGAATCTTATGGTGAACGAAGAGGAGCTGCTTACGGTATCGGTGGAATTGTTAAAGGATTGGGAGTGGCTTCGTTGAAGGTATGATCTAATGCCATGAAGATTTCCATTTTTCTAATCAAGGACAAGAATTTAATTTGCTTTCTTGTTCACAGTACATCCTAAATATGTTTTAATTATCTTATTCAGGAATTAGAACTTTTGCCAGCTATTCACAAAGCACTTCTCGAGAAGAAGAACGTTAAGCACCGCGAAGGTGGACTGCTAGCACTAGAGATCCTGTGTAGGTATGTGCCTCAAAAGTCATTTTTTCTTGGAGTGTTGTAACTGGTCGTTCTCCATTTTAGCACTGTTGGAAAGCTGTTTGAGCCGTACATGATCCAGACATTGCCTTCTCTTCTACTTTGCTTTGGTGATAGCGATGAGAACGTCAGAAAGGCAGCTGAGGTATGATTTCCTATTCATGCTTTTGAGTGATGTTTTACTTCTTTTATTTTTTGTCAGGATACTGCTGTAGCAATGATGTCATCAATGTCACCACATGGAACGAAACTTGTATTACCTTCGCTCCTTACGGCGCTGGATGATGAGTCTTGGCGAACAAAGTGTGCAGCGGTAAGCTTTTGAAAATATTAAGGTAAACATAAGTGTTACATTCTTTTTAGGCTGAGCTACTTGGTTCGATGGCCTTTTGCGCACCGCGGCAGTTGTCGGCATGCTTACCGAACATCGTCCCCAAGCTTATCGAAGTTTTAGCTGATTCATCATCTAAGGTATGCAGAACTGGTCAAAACTGCACTATCGGCAGATCGCACAAGCCTCCAAAAGTACCATTTGTAGCAGAAAACGTGCTTGTTTAGGTTCAACGAAGTGGCGAAAAAGCGCTAAGACAAATTGCTAGTGTCATAAGAAACCCTGAAATCTTAGGAGTTAGCAATCAGTTGATGT